ATTGCAGAGTAAGTAGTAAGGTTTCTTAAGTGTTTTAAATATTGAAAGCCCTTCCAAATAGTTGCGTCACTGTCCATGATCGGTGCTTAGTTCGAACCAGTTAGTCCGTTATTGGTATGGAGAGAAGAAGTATTGTGCAAATCCCGGTGCAATGATAAAGAAAAATAAAGATACAAAATAATAAAAAAAAGATAAAAAATAAAAATAAAAAAAAAAGATAAAGAAATAAAGATAGGTTATACTGTTACCTTAACCTTACCTTACCTTACCACCCCCTTACCCTTACACTGATCGGGCTTGCTATGTATGCAAAGTCTTTACTAAAACACTTATAGAGCTCGCTAAGCCCAGGAGCCGAGCCAGTCTTTCCTTGACCGCAAACTTTAAACTCAATTTTCTGGAAACCATGTTTTTCGCATTTGTGTAAGTGATAATTAAACAACTACTGAACCGTTTTTCATGATTCACTCATTTTAAACAGCGTTTTATATAGACTAAAGATTTTAAAAATAAAAAATTTTAGACTCTTTTTGGCAACAATTTTTGGGGAAAATCCCGAATTTTGTCTTTCGGAGCCGGTTTGACAGGGTTCATTTTTGAATTTAGAAAAAGATCTTAGTTCATCGAGAACAAAAAACCGTCTCAACTAAGAAAAAGGTTGGTTTGTTTATTTCTAACTAAAGTTGTGGCCACCATATGGGTTCTTACAAGATCCTTCTAAAATTTGTTAAAATACAAATTTCACTTTTGTACAAATGTTTTTTTTTTTATTACGTTATCACTCTTAATACATTTTGTATGGACTTAAAAAGAATTATCTTCATTTCACTACAAAGGGCTGCAAAAAATACCTATTTTTCGGCCTCTAAAGGTAGCTCCCTCTAAATAGTGTGTTTGGCTGTTTATAGTTACGATTGCATCTAACATTTTGGGGCATGTTCGTATGCCGCCACGTGAAACTATAAAACCAAATAATTAAACACTTTTTTACAAAAAAAAATCGATTATTCGCGTGAAAACCTTATATTGGCTACATTGTACCTATGACGTATGTTATGTGTTTGATATGATGGCTTTTTGAAAAATACTGGGTGCGTTCTTTAAGCCAAAAGGAAGTCTGCAAAATTCGTAATTGTCATTTTCTACCGAGAATGCCGTTTTCTGTCAGTCGTTTTTACCGTTTTTCACTAGTATCTTGTGAAAATCGATGGACTTAAAATCTATGGTGGTAAAGAATTGTGTCTTGCTTAATATGAAATTGAACACTGAATTGGTATAGGATATTCGTCATCGATTGTTTTTAAATTAAGTTTTCTAAAATCGATTACAAAACGCTTTTTGATATTCTCCTGCTTATCAGTTCCTTTTTTATGTACAACCCAAATGGGGTTGTGATATGGAGATAATTTCCGATAGTTGCCTGTGTTTCTGAGTTTACAAAGTCGTAGACACCCATCGGGTGTCTTTGAATATATGGGGTCCTCGTTTTATGTCCGGTTAGTAGCAATGTCTTTATTATTGTATGGTAGAGCTGGTATGGTATGGTAGAGGATTATCGTTTTTAGATCAAGAGTAACATCGTATTGCTTAAGTAATTCAAGTCCAATTATTTGTGAATTTGGTAATACGAGAAAAGTTTATATGTATTAAAAAGGTTAAACACGCACTGTTTATACCCTTTACTCGTATAGAAAAAAAGGGGAATAGTTGATTCGTTGAAAAGTATGTAACAGGCAGAAGGAAGCGTGCCCGACCTTATAAAGTATATATATTCTTGATCAGGATCAATAGCCGAGCAAACTCCGTCCGTATGAACGTCGCGACTAGACGTCTCAGGAACTAGAAAAGCTAAAACATAAAGATTAGGCATGCAGATTCCAGAGACATAGACGAACATTTTTCAAATGTTGCCACGCCCACTTTAACACACTTTTAAAATTTTTTAAGTTATTTTTCATTTTATTATTTTTTGTTCCCCAATTTCAACCGATATTTCAGAAAATCAGATATTTCTCGTTCGCACTTCCACTAGCTGAGTAACGGGTATCTGATAGAGGGGGAACTCGACTGTAGCATTCTCTCTTGTTTTCTGTTTTAACGTATCAAGTCGAAGATTGTCTTTGGTTAAAACGGTTGAGGGTCTTTCGAACACGTTTGGGCGCCAATTAACAAATTTCGGAGTAGATTTAGTTAGGAGGTTACAACCATCGCGTTTTATTTCCAAAATCAAACTAACTGCTAAGTACAATATATTTTAAAACTATAGCTACTCCTACACCCTAGAACTGCTGATGCAGCGCCTCGTACAGATGACCAAATATCAGATGAGGCGAGAACTGGAAAGAAAGTTGAGCTGGAAACGCGGATGAATAACATGCGCTGACTTAGCATTAGTGGCCCGACGCTTGGAACCCTTTTGGGCAACGTCCGCTGGTTAGGCTGACATTGCATTCGTGGCCCAGAGCGGTGTTGGGCAACGTCTGTGGGTTGTCTCTCATCTACCCGAGTCGATCTAGCTCTGTATTTCTTCTTTGCACTCCTACTCTCAGCTAGTGGTATTGTTGATGGCTTCGCTTCAATGTCCAAGACTATGGTATCATTAATGAGTTTCTCAGCTTGTTTAAGTTCAGGGCTCAAATTTAAGGTCGAATACTTTAATCTTTATAAATACAAACCAAATGTACCCATTATTTGTAGAGGAAATACCTTGAATATTGGAGCTCTCGCTTATAAATTTCTCTACGTTGATATGAAAATATTTGTTTAATGTGCGATCGTCATCTCTTGGGTTTTTTTTTTATAATATATACAAAAAATATAAGCCAAAAAAGTAATGTAGTGAATCATTACTGTGCGACTATAAATTCTAACTATAAATTGCATAGAACGGGAGGCATGTCGGCATCTCTCGATCCAGACCTGACATTCCTTACAATTAACTTTTTTACCCTTTCCTTATTCTTACCCTTCGTTATTAAAAAACAACTGCACTTCGTTTGCGATGGCGAAATTAAGTACTTCTTGTTTAAAAAACTAACCTCCAAGCTTCCATATGTTTGGAACTGAAGGTATTAATCTCCACCAATAACGTCTCCCTTACCGTGCACAACTCCTTAAACTCCATCAACGATTTAAGATTTACCAAAATCTATAATCTTTCAATTAACCTTTCTGGGGTCAATAGCCCAAAGATATTACGAGGTTTTAAATAAATCCAGCTTTACTTGGTATCCGAACCTTTGACACTTGGTTTTCCTCGTCGTCTACTTCATCGCCGTCTCGACCTTTTGGCCGGTGGCTAAAGTAGCGGAAAAGGGATGTCGTCCGTAAGGTTGAGCCAGAGCTCTCCCCAGAAAACAACCGCTGCAGGTCACGCGGACGGCGCACATCTGTTATAGCCGCGTTTGTCACAGCACACAAACAGGGACTCCCCAATCCCGTTTCGCAGCAGTGCCTTGTTGCTTTCTCCTGTGGCATACTAATCGCATAGTGGTTGTTATTCACTGACGTGACTTCTTTACGGTCTTTTTCTTCGGACTGGTCTACTTCACTGTCTTGCCCCGGGGGCTACATATCGACTTTTGGTCCTCACTTTCAGAATCTAAATGCGCCACACGTATTTCGCTTGTTAAAGACGGTCCGTTCGGATCCAACGTTCAACGATGTCTTGTTACTTCAGAGTACGGCCTCCTTGTGCTCATCCAAAGTCCACACACTTACCTCCAGTGCGGCATCGTTATTCCACGTCCAATGCACTTGTCCTTATTAACCATAACTCTAGTTTTAACTAACCCCTCCCCAACCCAAATATAGAAATTATAACTAAATAAAAACAAGTTAGTCGATTTCTTATATACATAAATACATAAAAATTTTTCAAAAATGTATCTTATAAAACTAAAACTTCGCTTAATAATTACCTTAAACACACACAAAAAAAAAATAAAACATTTAAAAAAAATTATTTGCCTCATAATAGTCATCCATACCGCAATTTAATAAAAACTAGCAATGCTATAAAACTAAAACTTCGCTTAATAATCTTTAATACATTTTTTTGTTTAAATTGATTTGCTAAATTATAGTCATCTGTACCGCTCTTTAAAAAAAAAAAAAACAATGCAATTTAAATTTACCAAAAGTATGTAAATAATCTGCGAAAAACCCCCTTATTCATAATTTGCTTCTTTCCCTGATGCATGTGCAGCACATTCTGCACAATGGTGATGTAGCTTTAGAATTTTTGCGATTTTTTTTTTTAATAATGCTTTGAGTTAGGTATACTGATTTATATGAAGTTTTAAAGTACGTTAACACTATTTCTCCTTCGTCTGTTTGCTTTATGTATGTACCATACACACTTAGGTTAAATTTATTGCCTATTATTTATTGCAATTATTATGTAAGTAATTCAGCTCATCAATAAAATATATTTATAGATATACCGATTTATATATCGTTTCAACTGTTACTCCTTCATCTGTTTGCCTTATGGGCTAAAATTACCCCAGAACTCACACAAAAATTAGTGGATTCGATGCCGAAAAGGCTTAAAATGGTTGTTAACAACAAGGGAGGTCACACAAAATTTTTAAAATTTTTTTATAGTTTTAAGTATAAGAAAAAATACTAATTTTACAAACTGGTTGAAATAAACTTTTGGATTGTTTTGAGGTACATTTTCATTATTAATTCTTAAAAAAATACTACAAAAATTATTAAAAATAAAATAAGTTAGTAAATAATATCTTGAAACATATAAGAAATATGTTGCGTTTAAATTTTTTTTTGATAACATTTTTAGTTCGCCTTTAACAGACAGTTGATGACAGATATAGAAGGTGGTTGAAATAAGCTGTGAGCCACTGTATGTACCTTACGTTAAATGGAATCTCTCTGTAATCTATCATACAATGCTCTAAAATTACAATTATATTTTTTGACATTGCTGATTAACTTCATTTAATTGAAATACAGTGGTGGGAAAATTATGGAAACAAGAATCGCTCCTGCATGTAAAACAAAATTACTAATTATGTACGAAGTGTGTGTGGATAAACCGTTAGCACATAAGCCACTCATAAGGGTACTTTATTGTGCTCTTCTTTTTGAGTTGATTTCGCTCTTGTTATTTGCGGTACATAGCGATATTTGAAGTGGTCACGTGTTTGAGCTGGAAAAAATAATAGAAACAAGCTACGATTTTGCGATTTGTTTGAGTTTTTCCCCTGTTAATTTTGTAAGTAAATCAATATATTAAATACTTTCAGGTATGTTTGCCTCATAATAAGTGATTTTGTAAAAAAAAAATGGTTAATTTCGGCTTTTATATTCAGAATGGGGCGCGGAGTGCACTGTTCACCTGTAGAACGAGATATTATAAAAAAACTAAAAAACGAAGGAAAAAAAATAAGGGAAATTGCTGAACTAATGCACTGCTCTGCAAAAATAGTGTTTTCCGCGATTCATTATAAAGATACGAAGGAGAAACGGGGCAGGAAGCGAGCCTCATCCCAAAAGTTCGACGACCTTTTGAACATCCAAAAAAAATCCTTTTATGTCGTCGACGGACCTGAAAAATACATTCCAGACATCAGTGTCAAGTCGAACAATAAGAAATAGACTAATTGGAAAGAATTTGAAGGCACATTCGGCTAGGAAAGTTCCACTGCTTAGTAAAAAAAATATCACTAAAAGACTGTCTTTTGCAAAGCGACACCTAGACCGTAAAAACTGGAATAATATTGTGTGGTCTGATGAAACTAAAATTAATTTGTTCGGATCTGATGGTAAAAATTATGTAAGACGTCCAAAAAATACAGCATTTGATCCAAAGCACACAAAAAAAAAAAACAGTAAAACCTGGTGGAGGTAACATCATGATATGGGGATGCTTTTCCGCGTCTGGAGTTGGTCCGATATTCCGGATAAAAGATAGGATGTGAGCTCCCGACTACTTTAACATATTGGAGAATGTTATGAAACCATATGCTGAGGAGCAAATGCCCTTAAAATGGGAGTTCATGCAGGATAATGATCCGAAACATTCGTCAACCCTGGCTAAGAAATGGTTTCGGGACCAAAACATTAATGTTATGGAGTGGCCTGCCTAATCCCCTGACTTAAACCCCATAGAACATTTATGGGGAATATTAAAAAGAGGAATTGGAGGTTTTAAATCAAAAAATAAGGAAGAGCTGTGGGAAAAAGTTAAGTCAGAGTGGTATGCCATTAACCCCGAAATTTGCGCCAATTTAGTGAATTCAATACCCCGTCGATGCTCAGCAGTTATAAAAAATAAAGGAAATACCACTAAATATTAATATTACAACTATTCTTATAAGATAATTCATAAAAATTACGTTTTTCTTAGTTTTATTATTTTTGCTATTATGGCTATTATTTTTTCCAAGCGCCAAAAATTAAGTTAATTATTTTTAGTTAATATAAAGATGAAAAAAATATTTTTGTTCCTTAATGTGAAATATACTTATATATGAATTTAAAAAAATAAAGATTAAAAAATATTACTTTCGTTCTGAGCACAACATTTAAAATCAATGATTCAACCAACGTGTTTCTATTATTTTTTCCTCCACTGTATATTTTTGAATTCACAATCAATTCTCAGATGCTAACAATTTTATATTAGTAGCAGATGTTAGTAGTTCAAAAAACATATTTATTAATTATTTATTACCAACTTTGGATACACAATAAAGCATTTCGGCACCTCAGCTGTGCGATATTCTTTCCTTACCCACAGAGAACGGCTCGCGCTTTCGGTAACGTTTTAAAGTCGCTTTGCAATTAAGTCGCACATTTTTATCGCTTTCATAACCCATGCATGCCCGCGTCGTTATCAAATTTCTCTCTAACAAATAAAATAATATTCGTTCGATTCAACGATTCTATTCAAAATCGTTCTAAATCGCTACATATAAATTGTCTTTTCATTTCGTAAAAAATATCTAATAAGAAAGATTATAAGCTCAGTAATTATATTAATATTCTTCTCAACATTCCTGGCCGATGCATTTTTTTTTGAATATCTGTCAAAATATGTTGACGTTCGCTGGATGCCTTTCTCCGCAAGTAGGACATAGAAGTTTGATTGGATATTTCCTTATCCTCTTCAATTCTCAACCGCTTTAAAGCCTTAGCTGAAGTCGGATTCTTGATACTTGATATACTATACTTGATCGGTTTTGTAGTTCATCCTGTTTTCCTCCAGTCATTATAATACTGAATGTAATTATGGATCCGTCACAGTTTTGGTAATTTCGATACTATTGTTGAACGAATGACAAGCCACAGATTATTCAATTTTTGTGGTTTTTATACCCGTCTCACGTCTGGAAAGGATTTTATTATTTGTTTTATTGTTTGTTAATTTCTACCGCTAGGCCAAAAACATATTGACCCACAAACCGTTAAAAACGTATGTCCCACTTTTAAGTAATTTTGACTTCTTTGTAGGGAGTATAGTGATATTGCGTTTGAAAAGTAAAAACGGAAACATATACAATATACATATAATATACAATTATATTCGAAAATTGCAATCGGTTACGTATTTTTGTAATGTTGCCAACTAATAGATCTATTTGGCCCATTTGAATGCCTTATTTACTCAATATATTTTTTAGAATATTTTACAACGAAATTGCTGGAGATTTGAATTTCAATGAATTATTTTCTTAGATCTGCTCGCGAGCGAAGAGATAGAGCAATTTTTGCCGGCACCAAAACAGTGGTTTCATAGTGGAAAACCAAAATATGGCCGATGAATGGTCATTTCGTCGTATTTGGCCTTTGCCTCTGTCTGTGTGCAAGTGCATATATGCACTTCATGACCATTTCTACGTTCTTTATAATATTTATAATGACCTCAGTAATGTATTATCCTTTAATGTTTTGTCTTGATCTAACTATAACAAATAATATAACTCTCTGGGTGTAACCATAACAAATGGTAGAACTTCCTGTCCAGTTCTTATTTGTAATATCTTTTTACCTACCATTCAGTAAAAAGTGTCAATGGTTTACCTAATAAATCTTTCTTTTTCGAAGTAATGTATTACTATGCTAAATTTACAAGGAGATCAATACTTGCAAACATTAAATTCCTTTGAGTACTGAGTTGCTTCTACGACTGACACAGCAGTCCAATTTGTTTATGAAATAAGGTCCCTAAAATCAAATTTTAGGATGGAATATCCATCATAATTTCCCACAATTTCTAATCCAAATCGTGTCTGATACGACTCCGAAACTTTACCAAGAACTTTGCAGTGCGTCATCCCATTATATTGTCCAAAAAGCAATCAACTACGTCAGCTCTTATAAAGCACTTACATTAAATGCACGGTCACAGTATCAAAAAACAGTTGTTTATGTTATTCGGAAATGTGTCAGCTGCTATGCGAAGCTTCATAATATTAATTTAACGGATTTTAACGGAATATTTCTGTATAAATCCAATAACCATAACCGACAACGTCATAACAACGTATAAAATAATATATGAGCATTTTATAAGCGTTACAACTAAATCTGTGCACACTGATCTTGAAAATGAACTCTACACAAGCATTTCAACTTGTATTTGTATGTAATTGCAGAGCAACTGATCAATTATTACATCCGAGCTTTGCTGGATGCATTACTAAAACTAAGTGAGAGATTTCACCGACAAACTTGATTCCGACTTGGCAGCCGTTTTTGAAATAGTTGGAACAGAGCTTTCAGTCAATGGCAATGAAAATTGTTGTTGCTATGTGGACTCACTCCTAAAGCAGCCCGGTTGGATAAAGTTAAAAAGGAACCACTTATAACAATGCTTTGATTTTTTTTATTTGTTTTGTAAATTGCAAATAAAAACTTTTTGCCACGCCTACCCTAACACCTACAAACCGTCCAAAATTGCCACGCACAGACTTTTAAACAATGTTTCTTGTTTCTTCTAATGCATCCAAACCCCCCAAAACTGTCACTATTTTTATGTTCCTTGGGAATTTTTATTGATATGCTAATAAGGCATGTCGGTGCTGGAAAGATATTAGGACAGGAATGAATGTACAAGACTGACTTGGAAACGAACTTGCGTATTTGATTCTTTCGTTTTATATCGTTCTAATTGCAATGCTCCCTTTTATTTTATAAGTAAACTAAGGGATGTGCTATGATTTACTTATTATTTAATTTATTAGAAGGATGCTTAAATTCGCTGTTAAAAAAACAACTAGGTTATTATACCCCTAAGTTCGCTGCTAAAAAAACAACAGTTTTGAGCGGTTTGTGGGCGTGGCAAAAAGTTGTTTGGCAATCTATAGAAATTTACAAGATGTATTCAAAAATGAAAAAATATCACATTTTTCAAAATTGTGGGCGTGACAAAAAGTTTTTTGGTAAATCTGTAGAAATTTAGGAAATATATAAAAAAAAAGAAAAAATAGCGCAACATTTTACAATGTGGGCGGTTTGTGGGCGTTAGAGTGAGCGTGGCAGCATTTGCAAACGAACTTGCGCTGTGTCTAAGTCTCTGAAAGCTTAATCTCATCATTTTAGCTTTTGTAGTTCCTGAGATCGAGGCGTTCATAGAGACAGACGGACATGCCCAGATCGACTCGGCTATTGATCCTGATCAAGAATATATATACTTTATATGGTCGGAAACGATCCGAACTATTCGTCTGTTGAATACATATACACATCATCGCTCCCTAAATATTAATATATGCTTACATTTTTTTATTTCAGAGGATGTAGACGAAACTATTGAATGTATTTCTTCAAAACTTTTGAATTCAATGAGCACTGATGTTGCCAAGTTAAAAGCTAAGCAGGCTTTAGACTCCATACCAAAAAATAAGTTAACCCTACTTATTAATTATGCAATGCGCAACGTTTACTTAGCACGGAATTATTTTGCTGGAACGGTAAATATTATGATCACTTGTTTATCCTCTACCCTATCCTTGTTTAAGAAACTACACTGCCTTAACATTGTATTATTATTACCATATATTACCAAAAAAGTTGGTCGTTACAGTACATTTTTCAAATCCGTGGCCGTATGCAAATAAAGCCCTTTTTTGGTGGCGGCAATAATTGCACTCTCCCTGCTCCCGTAAAATTAAAATCATAAATATCTAAAAACAGTAAGCAAGAAAGTAGGTACACGTATGTGTGCGTACTTGTGCTAGAAGACCCTTTTTGGTCTGAAATGAAATTTGATCTAAGGAAAGAATTTGATTAATGTCAATTTCGTTGTAATAATACATATATGTAAGGCATTATAGCCTGTTTATTAATATAGTTATGTTGGATATATCAAGAATTGCAGTATGACAAACAAATGGAAAGGCGACTTCTCGACTCTGCTGACTTGACGACTTGACCTACGATTGACTCTCCGACACACCAATTTCTATGCTCGGA